TACACGAGCATACCATGCATAATTGATTACTGTGAGGTCGGATGTCGGTCATAGAGGCTACAAGAGTTTCAGTGTCAGGTGGTTTCACTATTATTTTTTTACATCAGCTATGTATGATTCTACTTTCTGCCTTACATACTAGTACATTTTTATTCGTACTGATGTCCTGTTGCCTGGGGACACTGCATTTTTGTTTTGTGCGTGTAGGTCCAGGTAGGGACTCTGATCGACCCCTCTGATAGGATTTCGGGGTTCAACTGTGAGTTGGTAAGCTCCACCTCTTCTTGGAGCTTTCATAGGATGGTTACTTTTGTGTACAGTTTGGGTATAGTCGGGGCCTTGTTCCGATAGTGCTTATGACACTCTTAGAGGCTATTGTGGACACAATATTCTTGGTTTCTTTTGGTAGCTTTTAGTCTCCAGCCCATAGGCTTGGCATGTATATATATGTGTAGGCATGTATGTCTCCAATCGCGGCCTCTTCGGCCAGCTAGTATTTTATTATTTTGGCTCGTCTACCTTTGTTTATATGTCTTATTGTTATTTAGGTCATGACCTTAATGGTCCAAGCTTAGTATTTTAGATGTTGTGCTGCCCGATCTGTTGGGCCCCCAGTTTAGTTAGCTAGTATGTTTAGTGGCTAACTCGATCGAATACAATATCGAGTGCTAGTCGTGCCTCCCCTAGTTTGGGGCGTGACAAACTTGGTATCAGAGCAGGTCGTGTCCCAGGGAGTTCACAAGCCGTGTCTAGTAGAGTCTTGATTATGGGTATGTTGTGCACCATACTTATAATCAGGAGGCTATGAGGCATTTAAGAATGGTTATGTTTCTTTCAATTAATAGATCGTGCTATAGAGCGAAGTTATAAGAACATATGAAATCTAAATCGTGCTTTGTGTTTCTTATCTTACAGGCTACCTACGCTCAGGAGATGGCATAGCGAGAGATATGTATGAATCCGGGGGAAGGTACCAGTCGTTCCCCACCGGGTCAGAGGGATAGATTTCTCTTAGAGTCACACAGTGAGTCTCTAGTACCCCTAGTCTCAGCTTCCCCAGCACTTGTTAGAGCCTAGGGAGATGTAGTAGCACCAGCCTCACCAGTTATATTAGTACCTGAGGCAGCTAGAGACACAGGATCTCTAGCACCTGTTGTTCCGCCATCAGATACTGGGGAGCAGGGGATGAGGGAGGCAGTTCAGTTGCTGACTAGGATGGTTTCTATTAATGAGCGACAGCTAGAGTCGGGAGCAGATGCCCGAAGATATCGGACAGGAAGCTCGACGGTACGAGAGTTTCTTCACTTGTCCCCTCCATTATTTACAGGATCCAGTTCCACTGAAGATCCCCAGGACTTTATAGACCAAATGTATAGAGTATTGAGGGTGATGCATGCCTCCGTCACCGAGGTTGTGGAGTTGACTTCTTTTTGACTAAGTGATGTAATCGTCCTATGGTATGAGGCATGGGAGAGATCTAGAGGACCTGATGCTCCGCCAGCAGAGTGGGAGGACTTTTTTGAGGCTTTTTTAGCCTATTATTTTCCACGGGAGGTTCAGGAGGCCCGTCTTGACCAGTTCCTTAGCCTGAAGCAGGGGGATATGAGTGTGAGGGATTATAGCCATAAGTTTAATTCTTTGGCGAGGTATGCACCAGATATTGTACGTACCATGAGGGCTAGAGTTCATCATTATGTGGATGGTTTGGGGGATCATCTGATTAGAGACTGTAGGGTAGATCCCTATCGGATGATGTAGATATTTACCGCATACAGGCTTTCGCTCAGACTACAGAGGACCTTTCCCGTCGGATTCGTGATACTCATAGGGATAGGGAGCAGAGTAAGAGGGCTCATACTATGGGGTCTTATAGGGAGCCACGGGGTGATTTAAAGCCCCCACTCCATCGATATCCACCTCGATCAGTAGGTAGTTTCACACCATAGATGCAGGGCCAGCGGTTTGATCGTTATATTCAGTCAAGACCAGGGCAGAGCTCAGGCCATCCTGAGAGCCGTCGACAGGAGCGTTCCGCACAAATGAGACAGCCTATTCCTCCATGTACTCAGTGTGGTAAGCTGCAACCGGGCAGTGTAGACAGGGTTCGAGTGCATGTTATCATTGTGGGCAGACATGACATTTTATTAGTCGGTGCCCGGGGTTAGGCAGAGGTGCACCGGCTCAGCCTTCAGGATCCATAACAGCCTCTTCGCCCTCATCCCGTGCTCCCCAACCAGGTCCACAGTCTACTCAGGGACGTGGTAGGGGGAGAGGTGGAGGATACACCTCAGGTTCTAGTGGTGGACAAAACCTTTTTTATGTACTCACAGGCTGACAGGATTCAGAGGCATCCCTAGATGTTGTCATAGGTATATTGACAATACATTCTCATAACATTTATGCATTGATAGATCCCGGCTCTACATTTTCATATATTACTCCATTTATTGCTGGTAAGCTTGACATGAGATCTGAGTTATTGCCACAACCAGTTGAGGTGTCTACGCCAGTTGGCGACTCTATTGTTGCTAATCATGTCTATCGAGGTTGTACAGTGTTAATTAATGACCGTCCAACTTCTGTTGATTTAGTGGAATTGGTTATGCTAGACTTCGATGTCATTATAGGTATGGATTGGTTGGCAGCTTGTTATGCTAATATTGATTGTCGTGCAAAGTTGGTCCGATTTCATTTTCC